TTGCAAATCCTTTGCAGTCAATTACAGCCTGAAGTCTGGAACGCATAGACATCACCAGACGCTGGGTTTCATCCCTGGTGATGCTCTGCCAGGCCTCTACTGCAACTGTCTTCAGTTCCTGCTTGTTCTTGGGGCATTTTCCCTTCAGTTTTGTCTTCAGCAAGTGAAATGCATGCTCAATCGGATTCAGGTCAGGTGATTGACTTGGCCATTGCATAACATTCCACTTCTTTCCCTTAAACTCTTTGGTTGCTTTTGCAGTATGCTTTGGGTCATTGTCCATCTGCACTGTGAAGCGTCCAATGAGTTCTGAACACTTCAGAATTCATCCTGCTGCTTTTGTCAGCAGTCACATCATCAATAAATACAAGAGAACCAGTTCCATTGGCAGCCATACATGCCCACGCCATGACACTACCACCACCATGCTTCACTGATGAGGTGGTATGCTTAGGATCATGAGCAGTTCCTTTCCTTCTCCATACTCTTCTCTTCCCATCACTCTGGTACAAGTTGATCTTGGTCTCATCTGTCCATAGGATGTTGTTCCAGAACTGTGAAGGCTTTTTTATATGTTGTTTGGCAAACTCTAATCTGGCCTTCCTTTTTTTTGAGGCTCACCAATGGTTTACATCTTGTGGTGAACGCTCTGTATTCACTCTGGTGAAGTCTTCTCTTGATTGTTGACTTTGACACACATACACCTACCTCCTGGAGAATGTTCTTGATCTGGCCAACTGTTGTGAAGGGTGTTTTCTTCACCAGGGAAAGAGTTCTTTGGTCATCCACCACAGTTGTTTTTGGTCTTCTGGGTCTTTTGGTGTTGCTGAGCTCACCGGTGCATTCCTTCTTTTTAAGAATGTTCCAAACAGTTGCTTTGGCCACGCCTAATGTTTTTGCTATCTCTCTGATGGGTTTGTTTTGTTTTTTCAGCCTAATGATGGCTTGCTTCACTGATAGTGACAGCTCTTTGGATCTCATCTTGAGAGTTGACAGCAACAGATTCCAAAAGCAAATAGCACACTTGAAATGAACTCTGGACCTTTTATCTGCTCATTGTAATTGGGATAATGAGGGAATAACACACACCTGGCCATGGAACAGCTGAGAAGCCAATTGTCCCATTACTTTTGGTCCCTTAACAAGTGGGAGGCACATATGCAAACTGTTGTAATTCCTACACCGTTCACCTGATTTGGATGTCAATACCCTCAAATTAAAGCTGACAGTCTGTAGTTAAAGCACATCTTGTTCGTTTCATTTCAAATCCATTGTGGTGGTGTATAGAGCCAAAAATGTTAGAATTATGTTGATGTCCCAATATTTATGGACCTGACTGTACATGGAGATCATATCCCCCCTTATGTATTATACATGGAGATCATATCCCCCCTTATGTATTATACATGGAGATCATATCCCCCCTTATGTATTATACATGGAGATCATATCCCCCTTATGTATTATACATGTTGATCATATCCCCCCCTTATGTATTATACATGGAGATCATATCCCCCCTTATGTATTATACATGGAGATCATATCCCCCCTTATGTATTATACATGGAGATCATATCCCCCCTTATGTATTATACATGGAGATCATATCCCCCTTATGTATTATACATGTTGATCATATCCCCCCCTTATGTATTATACATGGAGATCATATCCCCCCTTATGTATTATACATGGAGATCATATCCCCCCTTATGTATTATACATGGAGATCATATCCCCCTTATGTATTATACATGTTGATCATATCCCCCCCTTATGTATTATACATGGAGATCATATCCCCCCTTATGTATTATACATGGAGATCATATCCCCCCTTATGTATTATACATGGTGATCATATCCTCCCTTATGTATTGTACATGGAGATCATACCCCCCCTTATGTATTATACCTGGTGATCATATCCCCCCTTATGTATTATACATGGAGATCATATCCCCCCTTATGTATTATACCTGGTGATCATATCCCCCCTTATGTATTATACATGGAGATCATATCCCCCCTTATGTATTATACATGGTGATCATATCCTCCCTTATGTATTATACATGGAGATCATATCCCCCTTATGTATTATACATGGAGATCATATCCCCCTTATGTATTATACATGGAGATCATATCCCCCTTATGTATTATACATGGAGATCATATCCCCCTTATGTATTATACATGGAGATCATATCCCCCTTATGTATTATACATGGAGATCATATCCCCCCTTATGTATTATACATGGAGATCATATCCCCCCTTATGTATTATACATGGAGATCATATCCCCCCTTATCCCATATCCCTCTATCCCTCCTTTATGTATAATACATGGAGATCATATCCCCCCTTATGTATTATACATGGAGATCATATCCCCCCTTATGTATTATACATGGAGATCATATCCCCCTTATGTATTATACATGGAGATCATATCCCCCCCCCCCTATGTATTATACATGGAGATCATATCCCCCCTTATGTATTATACATGGTGATCATATCCCCCTTATGTATTATACATGGAGATCATATCCCCCCTTATGTATTATACATGGTGATCATATCCCCCCTTATGTATTATACATGGAGATTATATCCCCCCTTATGTATTATACATGGAGATCATATACCCCTTATGTATTATACATGGAGATCATATCCCCCCTTATGTATTATACATGGAGATCATATCCCCCCTTATGTATTATACATGGAGATCATATCCCCCCCCCCTATGTATTATACATGGAGATCATATCCCCCCTTATGTATTATACATGGTGATCATATCCCCCTTATGTATTATACATGGAGATCATACCCCCCTTATGTATTATACATGGTGATCATATCCCCCCTTATGTATTATACATGGAGATTATATCCCCCCTTATGTATTATACATGGAGATCATATACCCCCTTATGTATTATACATGGAGATCATATCCCCCCTTATGTATTATACATGGAGATCATATCCCCCCTTATGTATTATACATGGAGATCATATCCCCCTTATGTATTATACATGGAGATCATATCCCCCTTATGTATTATACATGGAGATCATATCCCCCCTTATGTATTATACATGGAGATCATATCCCCCCTTATGTATTATACATGGTGATCATATCCCCCCTTATGTATTATACATGGAGATCATATCCCCCCTTATGCATTATACATGGTGATCATATCCCCCCTTATGTATTATACATGGTGATCATATCCCCCCTTATGTATTATACATGGAGATCATATCCCCCCTTATGTATTATACATGGAGATCATATCCCCCTTATGTATTATACATGGAGATCATATCCCCCTTATGTATTATACATGGAGATCATATCCCCCCTTAATCTCCTCTTCTCGAGAGAATAAATTCAGTTCCTCTAATCTTTCCTCATGGCTGAGCTCCTCCATGCCTCTTATCAGTTTGGTTGCCCTTCTCTGTCCTTTCTCCAGTTCCCCAATGTTCTTTTTGTGAATTGGTGCCCAAAACTGAACTGCATATTCCAGATGAGGTCTTACTAATGATTTGTACCTGGGAAATGATATCTCTCTCTCTCTCTCTCTCTCTGGAGTCTATACCTCTTTTAATACCAGAGAGGATTTTGCTGTCTTTAGAATACGTTTTTTCAGCAGAGCAGTGTGATAGTAGCCTCATTGAGATGACTTGTGTCAGCAGATCACAGGACAATGAGGACACTGCATCCTTCTATCAGATCCTCCTGTCATTCATGTTCTGCTCTGCCATGTTTCCCTTCTCTGGTGTGACCTGTGGACTGTAAAGCTTGTGATCTCTGTGTTTATTGACCGTCTCATTCAGGAAGATCACATCTCACTGACAGCTCACAGATCTCAGGATCTATTAGACAGGCAGTCTACAATGACATAATGTAGAGTGAGCAGCGGTTACATCATGCTGGCTGTTCAGTGTTCGCTCATTCTGTGGCATTTTAATGTCTTCGGTGTTTACTTTCCATACAACGTTACATCTGACTGGTAGAGCCGTTGATGGTTTGTTAGTTTATTTCGAGAACATGAAGAGAGCTCATTAGATCACAGTAGATGTCATGCGTGGAAGTCAACCAGCTACACAACCATAACAATGGATAATGGCATTTTTATTAGATACGGAAATACAGTTGAAGTCACTGAAAATAAAGTTGATGATATCTCAGTCTTTGTTGTGATGCTGAGACTCTTTGATATGCAGACCCCTCTATGTCTTTTTTCATGATGTTTTAATTCTTTCCGTGGCTGAAAGCAGCCCGTGTAAATAAGCCATCACTGTGATGTTCACAATGCTGTTTCAGCTTGAAAACAGATGTTATCATTATGGCCCTTGGCTTGTTATGTTAGGCTCCCTAGTTGAATTTTTTTTCTCCTTTCGGAACTCAAATGTAACTGAATAACCTATTTGGTCCTCCAATCATTTTTGTAATGTATTTGCATGCACAGAATATTCATGTTTCATAGTTCAGTCTCTTTAAAGTGTTACTAAACCCCAACCGTAAAATCAGTCTGTATATGCAGTAAAGCATGCTTGTTATACTCACTGTGAAACCAAATGGGTTAATCCTCTGCATTGTGTAAAAAGGCTGTTTGATCCTGTCTTCTCTGATCCTCCCCCTTTTACAGAGCTCCTCTCTTATTTCCTGATAAGGCATATTGTGTGGAGTCACTCTGCACATGCTCAATTTGGTGTGTAATGCTAGAGAGGTTTTTTTTTTCTTGGGAGAGTGCATGTGATCAGCACAGTGCCAATCAGCACTGGTCAGACAGAGGTCAAGGGTTCTGCATCCTTCTAGAGCAGAAGGAAAACTCCTCTTACAAGCTTTAACCAGTGCTGTGCTGAACACTGATAGTCACAAGACAGCTATATACTGCTGATGAGAAAAGGTATTTAGTCATTTATATTTACTAAGATACTTGCATTTCCATCTTCTATGTACTGGAGACCAGGTATAGTGAATGCAGGGTCCTGGGAGAACGGATATAGTGAATGCAGAGTCTGAGGAGACCAGGTATAGTGAATGCAGGGTCCTGGGAGAACGGATATAGTGAATGCAGAGTCTGAGGAGACCAGATATAGTGAATGCAGGTTCCTGGGAGACCAGATATAGGGAATACAGGGTCCTGGGAGACCAGATATAGTGAATACAGGGTCCAGGGAGACCAGGTATAGTGAATAGTGAATGCAGGGTCCTGGGAGACTGGATATAGTGAATGCAGGGTCCTGGGAGACCGGATATAGTGAATGCAGGGGGAGACCAGGGAGACCAGATATAGCAAATGCAGGGTCCTGGGAGACCAGGAGACCGGATATAGTGAATGCAGGGTCCAGGGAGACCAGGATATAGTGAATGCAGGGTCCGGGGAGACCAGGTATAGTGAATGCAGGGTCCGGGGAGACCAGGTATAGTGAATGCAGGGTCCGGGGAGACCAGGTATAGTGAATGCAGGGTCCGGGGAGACCAGGTATAGTGAATGCAGGGTCCGGGGTTTAGTAACACTTTAAAGTGGTTCTAAAGTCCAACAGTTTTTTTTTTTTTTATCTTACAGTATGTAAACCCAACATTTCATGTTCCTAATATGTGCTTGCTGTACCATGCACTTGTATGAAAAACTATCCTGTTCACTTTGCTTCTTTTGTGTGAAACCCCTGGAGTTCCTGCCAGTCCCTATGCTTTCCTATTAAAAACTGACCACACTAGGCAGGAGAGCACAGCGTGGTCAGTTCTCCAACTGATGGGTACTTAGTCTGATCTCCTCCATTGATTAGACTTAGACTTGTGCTGACAACCCCCCCCCCCCCCCCATGCACAACCTTTCAGTGGGAAGTTCAGTGTCCTGCAGTATTTCCTTCCCCTAGCTCCTAATGCAGCTGAGAAGAGCGGGTATGTGATCACTTATATAACATGGAATAAAATGTATTTATAATGTTTTATATTTATACACAAATGTTTTGCTATTCATTTCTATTTTAAACTGAATGGTTTCTTTTACAAGGTGAGGGTTAACATATACTTTAACACATTCCCTGCATCAAGGTAAAAAGTGCCTCACTAACTGCCCCCCCATCCCTAAGCACCTTACTCCTCTCGCCGGTCCAGTGCTATCCCAGTTGCAGCACTGACCTCCTGATCTCAGGAGACACTGGCAGCCATAGACTCCTGCTGCTGTCAGTCCAATTGCTTTGATGATGAAGTAGAGGGTGTGACTTACTGGCACTGTGTGTGTCCATGGACGCACACAGCCCAGCTCAGGAGCACTGTCTTTTCACGGGCTGAGGAGACACCTACAGCAGGGGGAAGTGGACAGCGCCAAAGAGGAGGTAAGGGACCGCTTTGTGCAATATCGTTGCATGGAGCAAGCAAGTATAACTTCTTTTTAGGCTTTAATATCACTTTAAATCTGACTATTTAGTTTGAGAGAAATTCTGGGGTTTGCCATGAAAAGTTGACAAGTAAACCAGATGTGAAAAAACTTGGAATCCCTGGATCATCATACAGTCACCTGCATAAAATCAGGGCCAGGATGGAGTGACAGGACCCAAGTCGAGGGGAGCAAGCAACTGTACTCTTCTAACTTTCTTTTCCTCCCCTTCTCTTTTCTTTTCCTCTTCCATCCCTTTTTTTATTTTCCTTCTGTAAGTTTTTTTAAATTGGAATTATTGGTCATCCATTTTATTACTGTGATTCATCTGATATAGCTGTGTGATGGTCGATGGAGTCACTTGCTCAGCACCTCATTTGTCAGAGGATTTAAACAGGAGCTCTGCATTCCCACTATATCCCAAGCATCTGGGTTGCAGGCAACAACGTATATCTTAGGTCTTTTACTGTTTGCTGGATGCATACAGGGGGTGGACAAAGACATGGAAACACTACATGATTTGCAGATGTGAAAGTGACCACATGTTTTGCTTTGAAAGTGGAAGTGATGTAACATTCTTTTGCTTCCGCTGTGTGATGAGACACCAAACAGGTGGGAAGCCTCACTTTCTTCATTCACTATTAGTAATATGGACTCATTTCAGAACTTGTTGAGCTTCAAAGAGGGCAAATTGTTGGTGCCGCTTAGCTTGTTGCTCTGTGATTGACGTTACCACTTTATATGCCATGTCACGAGGTGCAGTATCAAAGGTTATGACAGCATATACAATTCCGGGAAAATATCGTCTGATAAGCATAGGCACGGTCGACATGGTGAATGGACCAAAAGAGACAAAAGAACATTGTGCAGGATTGTAACCTGGAATGAGAGAACCATAGAGTCCTATGCTTGAACTGGATAGATTTTGTCTTTTTTTTCAGCCAGAATAACTATGTAACAACAGCTGCAAAAGTGTTTGCAGAGCTCAATCTCAGTCCTCCCTGTGTCCCATGAATATCTTCCTTCCTAGCTATCTTCCGTAATATATCAATTGCCCGCCCTCCATATACTGGAAATGAAAAGATACGGAGATGTTTGTAGTCCATACCTGGAGAGCAGTCTAGAGTGATGACCATGATTCCCTCCATAGATCAGTGGAGGAGTGAGTGTAGTCACACAGGGACAGGCAATGTGTTATTTGCAGCATTACCAGATAAAAATAAAGCAAAAGAAGCTTGAAATGGAAAACTAACACAGCCACCACACCAAAAACTACTAAGCTGTAATATACAGTTGCAAGAAAAAGTATGTGAACCCCTTGGGATTACGTGGAGTTTTGCATGAATTTGGCATAAAATGTGCTCTGAACGTCATCTAAGTCACAACAATAGAAGAACACAGTCTGCTGAACATAATACTACACAAACATTAGATGTTGCCATGGTTTAATTGCACATGACATGTAAACATTCACAGTGCAGGGAGGAAAAAGTATGTGAGGCCCTAGCTTTAATGACTTCTCCCAGAGCTAGTTGGAGCCAGGAGTGAGCCAACCTTGACTCCAATCAGTGTGATGATATTGGATGTGTTGCTGACAGCTGTCCTGCCCTTAAAAAACACACACCTGTTTTGGGTTTACTGGTTTCAAGAAGCACTGTCTGATGTGAACCATGCCTCGCAGAAAAGAGCTCTCAGAAGACCTACGATCAAGAATTGTTGACTTGCATGAAGCTGGAAAGGGTTATCTCCAAAAGCCTTGATGTTCATGTGTCCACGGTAAGACAGACTGTCTACAAATGGAGAAAGTTTAGCACTGTTGCTACTCTCCCTAGGCGCGGTCGTCCTGTAAAAATGACTGCAAGAGCACAGCACAGAATGCTGCATGAGGTAAAGAAGAATCCCAGAGTGTCCGCTAAAGACCTACAGAAATCTCTGGCACATGCTAACATTTGTGTTGACACATCTACAATAAGGAAAACATTGAACAAGAATGGAGTACATGGGAGGACACCACGGAGGAAGCCATTGCTGTCCAAAAAGAATATTGCAGCACGTTTGAAGTTTGCAAAAGAGCACCTGGATGTTCCACAGCACTACTGGCAAAATATACTGTGGACAGATGAAACCAAGATTGAGTTGTTTGGGAAGAACACACAACACTATGTGTGGAGAAAAAAAGGCACAGCACACCAACATCAAAACCTCATCCCCACTGTAAAACATGGCGGAGGGAGCATCATGGTTTGGGGCTGCTTTGCTGCCTCAGGGTTTGGATGTATTGTTGTCATTGATGGGAAAATGAATTCCAGAGTTTATCAAGACATTTTGCAGGAAAACGTACGACCATCTGTCCGCCAACTGAAGCTCCGCAGAGGATGGGTGATGCAACAGGACAATGACCCAAAGCATACAAGTAATTCAACAAAACAATGGCTGCAACAGCACAGAATATGCCTTCTGGAGTGGCCCAGTCAGAGTCCTGACCTCAACCCGATTGAAATGCTGTGGCATGACCTTAAGAGAGCGATTCACACCAGACATCCCTAGAATATTGCTACACTGAAACAGTTTTGTGAAGAGGAGTGGTCCAAAATTACTCCAGATCGTTGTGCAGGTCTGATCTGCAACTACAGGAAACGTTTGGTTGAGGTTATTGCTGCCAAAGGAGGGTCAACCAGTTAAGTCCAAAGGTTCACACACTTTTTCCTCCCTGCCCCTGTGAATGTTTACATGTTATGTACTAGTGCCAATTTAGACAGGATCCAATTAACCTACCAGCATATCTTTGGAGTGTTGGAGGAAACTGGAGAACCTGGAGGAAACCCGCACAGGGAGAACATGCAAACTCCAGGCAGGTGGTGCTGTAGTTGGGATTCGAACCAACAACCCTAGTACTGCCGGGCGGAAGTGCTAACCACTTAGCTACTGTGCTGCCCAGAGATGAATATAGTATATAATTTGTGTTGTAGAATTTGTTTCTCATAGAAAACGCAAAGCAATGCATCCCTGGTACACATAGATTCCTGCGGGCAGTCTAACACTAGACATACACTAGTAGATTTTCAAATTCATTCTCATGAGTACATTCAGTTACCTGACAAATGTTGTTTTGAAGTACATTTGCTTTTTGCATTCAATTTTGGAACAAATGGACTTTCCCAAACAAAAACCACATACACTGTAAGGCCCCTTCAGACGTGGCGGACTCCATCTGGATCAGCAGAGGGTCCCTTTACAGATTCCCTGCTGATTGGAGCAGAGCGGGCGGATGACACGTCTGTGTCCACTCTGTTTATGCAGAGCAGACATGAGCAGAGCCTGTTCTGCTCTATGGGCAACCGGGTATAGAAGGATGCCACTGTCCGTTTACACCCGACTGCTCTCTGATCCGATCCACTTTAGTGGAAAACAACAGATCCCCTTCTGGGTTTTTTTTTTTTTTTTTTTTTTTGCGCAGATCAGTAAGTAGTTGGGTATAAACAGAGACAAGTCTGTTTATATCTTTCTCTCCATAGGGGATGAATGGACCATCTGATTAGGTCCGCCTGAATAACTGACAGGCAGACCTGATTCGGCCTGCTGTGTGAAGGATGCCTTAGAAATTGTTGTTTGAGAAAAAACTTCCATCCTGCTCCATCAAGTTTTCTTTTCACTTGTACCATTAATTAGAAAAGTGAACGAATGTGCCTAAAATTAACATTTTTCGAATAAGATTCTACTAGTGTACAGTGCCTTGAAAAAGTATTCATACCCCTTGAAATTGTCAAGTGTCCCTGCTGAAGAAAAGCATCCCCACAACATGATGCTGCCACCACCATGTTTCATGCTGGGGATGGTGTGTTTAGGGTGATGTGCAGTGTTAGTTTCTTCCACACATCACATTTTGCTTTTAGGCCAATCTTCCATAAAGGCCAGATTTGTGGAGTGTACGACTAATAGTTGTGCTGTAGACAGATTCTCCCACCTGGGCTGTTGATCTCTGCAGCTCCTCCAGAGTTACCATGGGCCTCTTGGCTGCATCTGAATAATACTCTCCTTTCCTGGCCTGTCAGTTTAGGTGGATGGTCATGTCTTGGTAGGTTTGCAGCTGTGCCGTACTCTTTCCATTTTCGGATGATGGATGCAACAGTGCTTTGTAAGATGTTCAAAGTTTGGGATATTTTTTTATATTCTAACCCAGCTTTAAACTTCTCCACAACTTTATCCCTAACTTGTCTGGTATGTTCCTTGGCCTTCATGATGCTGTTTGTTCACTAATGTTCTCTAACAAACCTCTGAGGGCTTCACAGAACAGCTGTATTTATACTGAGATTTAATTACACACAGGTGGACTCTATTTACTAATTAGGTGACTTCTGAAGGCAATTGGTTCCACTAGATTTTGGTTAGGGGTATCAAATTAAAGGGGGCAGAATACAAATGCACGCCACACTTTTCAGTTATTTATTTGTAAAAAATTTTGAAAACCATTTATCATTTTCCTTCCTCTTCACAATTTTATTTTAACCTATCACATAAAATCCCAATAAAATACATTTACATTTTGGTTGTCACATGAGAAAATGTGGAAAATTTCAAAGGGTATGAATACTTTTTCAAGGCACTGTATGGCCAACCTAAAGTAGAACTAAAGACAGGAATACAACCCGTGCTCTAGTGGTCCAATGACTGCAAGATACGGCAAAGGCATCTTTGCCTGGCTTCTTTCCGGTGCCGGTCTTCGGTCGTCCTAATTGGCCGGTGCGGAATGATGTCACTCTCACGCATGTTCAGGAGTCATTCAATCCACCACACTGTGCTATGCTGGAAATCCAAACAGAGCTGACCAAGTGGGGTTCTGTGTACATTCTGCATTGGATTGTGAATGGGCAGGTGTGTATTATTGCAGGGGAGACATTGCATGGCTCTTCTGCAGTAAAGAGCCTTCCTGTTAACAGATTTATATTTTTAGCCTTTTAGTTTCTTTTTGATATGCAGGTACAATCTGAATACCGTCCAACTGTTAGGGATCCGGTTATGACCAGAAATGTGTGGACTGACACAGGGAAGTAACTGGCTTCAGGAATGATATAATAATGTAATTTATTATTAGCTACCCAAATATACAACGCACAGTAAATAAACCAACCTTCCACTACTATTCGTATGTGCAGGAACACAGGCGCAGTCAGGGCTGGAGAGGTGGAAGGGTCAGGCCAGCCATATGGTTCTGTCTGTCAACGACCGTCTGGTAGTACCCCTAGCAGTCCTCAGGGCAGGATTCCCCAGGGCGCGGAGTCTAAGTCCCAGTCTGCTTATTCACCAGGGCCCCTGATGGTGGGGATGGACTTGGATCAGACAGGAACCAGGTGGCGGCCCCTGAGTACACCTGCTCGTGGTAGAGGGATCCGCCAGAGGTATATGCAGGTAGGAAGCCTGATGTGAAGAGGCAGAAGGTGTGAGCAGGGATGGCTAGATCCGTGCAAGATGGATGGATCGTCTGGGTAGCATAAGGTGTAGTCAGGCAGGCCAGGTCAGCAACGTGCGGGCAGCGAGGTACCAAAGGAGCAGGCAGAGAATAGTCAGGGTCACAAGCCGGGTTCAGTAACTCACAGGCAGCGCGGTACAGAGGATCAGGCAGAGAATGGTCAGGGTCACAAGCCGGGTCCAGTAACTCACGGGCAGCACGGTACAGAGGATCAGGCAGAAGGATGGTCAGGCAAGCCAGGGGTTAAACAGGACGGTCAGCAGGGTCAGGAACAATGCAGAGTCTGCAACAAATCAGATAGGCAGAGGAACAGGAACACAGGATACAAGGTACAGGGGCTCATGGGAAACAACACCAAGGCCCTGACTGCAGGTCTGGCCATTCCTTAAATACACCTCCTGCAATCAGCCCCAGGTGTTGGCTGACTGCAGGAGTGAGCTTCTGGCTGCTGAGAGCACCCGCTGGTCAGCCCTGGTACTGCAGCCCACACGGCAGTTGAGTCCCACCACCAGTGCTGAGTCCATTCCTGACACCAACACCTGAATTGGGTAGCAATGTCCCAAACATTAAGGCCTCAGTCACACGAGCCTAATATTGCGTTTGCCCGCACAGGGATGCACAGGGATTCCGTTCATCCTTATGCAGGCAATTCCATTTGCATTAATTGGGGCTAAACAGCTGCAAGGACACAGCTGCTGCTCCCAGTTAGACAGCTGTATGATTGCATGACCCCAAATGTACACTGCGTTCGAGAGGCTGTGCACCCACACTTGCACAGATGTCAGATTAGTATTGGCTATACAAATAACAATGAAAACCAAAAGAAACCAAATATTAGGAACCATGGATGAGTGTGATTATGGCTGCTGCAGTCTTCAAAATGTGTCTAACTTCCACATTAGTGAGTCCTATAAAAGTGTATATAGACCAAACTGCCAAAAATGTGAATCAAAATCACTAAACAGTTTGCCACATGTGAAAATGCCAAAAATAAATAAAATAAAATGAACACCACCAGAAAATCTAAACAATGTCCGATGTATCAGTAATTCCCATTCAAATGATAATTGCTTTAAAACCAAAAGATAGGTAAACAGGTGCTGGTGCCATTAGTGACAGAAAAAAACGGTGACAACTTCCAGGTGGGGACGGACAGGGAGGCAGGCACTTTGGACACCTCTCCTCCTCGGAGTTTCAGCAGAGGTGCGGGTCCACATCCCTGCCACGGGTGCTGAAGACGGAGAGATGGAGGGGTGGGCAGAGTATGCAGCCAATCAGTGTGTAATCCCCCGACCCTGGTGACAGCACCATGTAGTAGGTAGGGGGGAGAGAGAGGGGGGGCAAGAGGGCAGAGAGAGAGGGGGGGCTTGCTTTAAAACTTTTTTGTGGAGCTGGTGGAGAGATCCATGTCACATCATATAGGTTGCAAGTCAACCTTCCCCGCAGGATGGATCGGATCCGCGGATTAGGGAGGATAATGGAGCAGACTCCGAACCATCCTGCGGGGATCATTGGAAGGTGTGTCACCAAGTATTACTGCACCGGGTGACACCAACCCTAAGGATGCCACTGCCCACATGGATTTGCACTCACCACAAATGGATAGACATTCTATTACTAGATAGGTCTTACTGCGCTTTTTTTGATTGGATCCACTGTGTGTCTTGTCACCAACTGGACCATTCATATGTACCAGGAGTGTGATTCCTTCCCATGCAATACACCGCCACTCAAAAAACTGTATCAGGGAAAAGGTTCAAAGCAGCAAACTTTATTCAATCATATAAAGCCTAACAATAACACCACACTCACATGTATATGTGCCTAAGGACCGGCACCAGGTACAGAAGCTGGCTTGGGCTCCAGGGAAGTGATGTATCAGTTGGGGAACACTGCTTCCCCAGCTATACAGTAAATTAGTACTCCCATGTGAATGAGGCCTTATTGTTACCTTGGAAGATTAATTTTGTAGCCATGGATGTGGGAGGGATTAGCACATAGTAGTGACCTCTGGTGCCAACCTATTGGGGAAAGGTATGATGATGTTTTTTTAATCTGTGCGATTGCGATTTACCTCCAAAAAGCATGGGCCAATATCTTCATAGACCCGGCACTGTTCTAACAGCTGCCAAGTCTGTAGGCGCTTTAAAGCAGCAGAAATATCAGCATCTTAGAATATCATCAAGATGCTGATTTTGCCAATCAGAAAACAATAACAGCTGAATACTGTCTGTGATACTTCATTTGCATGAACACTTCCAAGGGAAGAGAACATGCAAAAGTGTTTCTGTTGGAAATGCACTAATGTGTCTAGAATCATCATTCAGAAACAATAGTTACATTGACATGCAGTTTCAATCAACATTACTCACAATTTGTTCCACTAGATGAATAATATACACGCCACTGGATAGCCTTACCAAAAAAGTGTAAGCGTTCAGTGTGTCTGTATCTATATATTTTTTGTGTGTGTGTATTTCTACCGGACTTGGCTTTTGGTTTAACCGCCTCCCATCCACCATATAAGGAAATGACAAATGACGGGCGCAAGGCGGTTCTCTCTGTCTGGGAGGACGTCATATGACGTCCTCCCACTCTAACTGCATGTGCATGGCTCCGGGGGAGCGTAGCGCGGGGATCGGTGGTGCACTGTGTCCCTCAGATACAGCGGATCACCGATCAACGGAAAGAGCCGAAGACGTCGGCTCGGTCATGTGATCAGCTGTGTCCAATCACAGCTCATTGCATGTAAATAAAGAAATGCTGGTTATCGGCATTTCTCTCCTCACTAGCTGTCACGCTGACAGCTCGAGAGGAGAGCCGATAATCGGCATTCCTCAGAGGGGACATGTACACTGATCATCAGGGCACTGATGATCCGTGTGCCCTGATAATCAGTGTAGCCCCAGTAGTGCCTCCTGTCAGTGTCCATCAATGCCAACTGTCAGTGCTCATCAATGCCACCTGCCAGTGTCCATCAGTGCCACATCAATGCCACATATCAGTGCCTACCAGTGCACATCAATGCCACATATCAGTGCTTATCTGAGCTGCCTTTCAGTGCCACCTATCAATGCCAGTCAGTGCTGCCAGTGCCGCCTATCTGTGCCATATATGATTGCCACCTTTCAGTGCCCATCAGTGATGCCTGTCAATGCCCATAAGTGCCACTTACCAGTGCCACCTATCTGTGCCCATCACTGCAGCCTCATTAGCGCACATCAGTGAAGGAGAAAAATCACTTATTTACAAAATTGTATAACAAAAACTAAGAAAAAAAATTTTTTTTTCAAACTTTTCACTTGTTTTTGGGTTGTTGAGAAAAAAATAAAAAACCCAGAGGTGATTAAACACTACCAAAAGAAAGCTCTATCTGTCTCAAAAAAATCATAAAAATGTCATTTGGGTACAGTGTTGCATGACTGCGCAATTGTCATTCAAAGTGTGACAACTTTGAAGCTGAAAATTGGCCTGGACAGAAAAGGGGTATAAGTGCCTGGTTGGAAAGTGGTTAAATTGTGTATATAAAAACAGAAGTTTGCATGTAAATCACTATTCTGCTTTTCCATAGGTTGACCTAGGATTTCCTAAGAAGATCACAGGAATTGTAACTCAGGGTGCAAAAGACTTCGGAAATATTCAGTATGTTGAATCGTTTAAAGTGGCATACAGTGACAATGGCTCCACCTGGACGATATATCAAGACAGCAGGACAAAGCAAGATAAGGTACTCCATATCTGTTCTCTCATATAAAAATGTCAGTGTAAAACCACATCTTATATTCTTTACAGGCAAAAATCAGCACACTTGTACTTTGAGCATCTCTAGCATATCTCTAAGGATGAAAGTGGTATTACACTTAAAAATAAAAAGACGACACTGACAGGCAGGATCTTTACCCTATCAGTCTCTTCTGCCTTAAATACTGCCACCTGCCTGTCATGTACACTGAGCCACGCATGCACAGCTCAGAGTACATTATGGCATCCACTCTCTGCCACTGTGATTTGACTCCCATGTGCTTTCATTGGAATAACGTCCAGGGCAAGGCAGTTTTGAGCATTCCGATCACATATGCAGTGCAAGATGATGTGCAGAGTATTCATAGAAAAGTGATGGCAGAAAAAGACAGAGTGATCCATCAAGTCTGCCTGTTTTTTTTGTTTTTGTTTTTTTTATTTTTTAATGTGGTTTATTTTGTAACAACAAACAGTTTTTGTTAATTTTTGTCTGAATATAGATCTATGCTTGTCCCACGCATGTTTGAAGCAACTTACTGTTGACTGCCTTACTACCTCTGCTGGAAGTTTATTCCAAGCATCAACTACTCTTTCAGCAAAATAGTACTTTCTGAGATTACGTTTGAATTCCGAGATATGTTCTGAATGCACCGAGATTAGTTTTTTTCATCACTTATATGTGTGTGTGTGTGTGTGTGTGTGTGTGTGTGTGTGTGTGTATATACAGTTGTGTTCAAAATAATAGCAGTGTGTTGAAAAAAGTGAATAAAGCTCAAAATCCTTCTAATAGCTTTTATTTCCATACACACAAATGCATTGGGAACACGACACATTCTATTCCAAATCAAAACATAAAGAAAAATATATCAAATTTGTGTTGTTCCTCTAAAAAATTGAAGAAAAGTGAATATTAGACGGTTCAAAAAAATAGCAGTGTTTGTATTCTTCTTTACAAACTCAAACATTCACTATATAAACTGAAAAATGTTTGAAGATTTTGCTTTCCTTTGAATCACTTAATGAATATTTGGTTGTGTAAGCACTGTTTCTGAGAACTGCTGTACATCTGTGTTGCATGGAGTCACCCAACTTCTGGCACCTGTGAACAGGTATTCCAGCCCAGGATGATTGGACTACATTCCACAGTTCTTCTCTATTTCTTGGTTTTGCCTCAGAAACTGCATTTTTGATGTCACCCCACAAGTTTTCTATTGGATTAAGATTCGGGGATTGGGCTGGCCACTCCATAACGTCAATCTTGTTGGTCTGGAACCAAGATTTTGCACGTTTACTGGTGTGTTTGGGGTCGTTGTCTTGTTGGAACACCCATTTCAAGGGCATTTCCTCTTCAGCATAAGGCAGCATGACCTTTTCAAGTATTCTGATGTATTCAAAACTGATCCATGATCCCTGGTATGCGATAAATAGGCCCAACACCATAGTATGAGAAACATCCCCATATCATGATGCTTGCACCACCATGCTTCACTGTCTTCACAGTGTACTGTGGCTTGAATTCAGTGTTTGGGGGTCGTCTGACAAACTGTCTCCGCCCACTAGACCCAAAAAGAACAATCTTACTTTCATCAGTACACAAAATGTGGCGCCATTTCTCTTTAGGCCAGTCAATGTGCTCTTTGGCAGATTGTAACCTCTTCAGCACGTCTTTTTCCCAACAGTGGGACTTTGCGGGGGCTTCTTGCAGATAGCTTGGCTTCACATAGGCGTCTTCTAATTGTAACAGTACTCACAGGTAACTTTACACCTTCTTTCATCTTCCTGGAGCTGATTGTTGACTGAATCCTTGCCGTTTTAGCTATTCTTCTATCCATTCGAATGGTAGTTTTTCGCTTTCTTCCACGTCTTTCAGGTTTTGGTTGCCATTTTAAAGCATTTGCGATCATTTTAGCTGAGCAGCCTATCATTTTCTGCACTTCTTTATATGTTTTCCCCTCTCCAATCAACTTTTTAATCAAGGTACTCTGTTCTTCTGAACAATGTCTGGAAAGACCCCCATTTTCCTCAGAATTTCGGAGAGAAATGCGCTGTAACCAGCATGTACAACATTTGCTGCCTTCCTTCCTTAAATAAGGGCAATAATTGCCACCTGTTTTTCAAAGAATGAATGACCTCACTAATAGAACTCCACACTGCTATTATTTTGAACATGCCCCTTTCAATTAGTGATTCAATTACACAGAATCAGCAGCATGCAGGTCATGACTGTTGGGTCTGTTGGATTTCTATTATTCTACTACACCTGCTAGTAAATTATTTGCCATGTAGAAATATCATTTCTACCAAAAACAGTGATTGGTCAGGTTAGTGATGTCTGACTGCTATTATTTTGAACATAACTGTGTGTGTGTGTATACGTGTGTGTATGTGTGTATGTATGTGTATATATATATATATATATATATATATATATATACACCCACACACACAGGTCCATATATATTTGGACACAGGCACGGTTTTCATACTTTTGGCTCTGTATGCTGCCAAAATAAATTAAAACGAAACAATCCAAATGAATTTAAAGTGCAGACTTTCAGCTTTAATTCAAGGGGTTGAACATGTATATCAAGTACAAATTTTAGAAACTGCAACCATTTTTATGCACAGTCCCTCCATTATAAGGGGCTCAAATGTAATTGGACAAATTAATATAATCATAAATAAAACATTCATTTTTAATATTTTGTTCAGAATCCTTTACTGGCAATGACTGCCTGAAGTCTGGAACCCAAAGACTGGGTTTCCTCCTTTCTGATGCTTTGCCATCTCTAACTGCAGCTGTCTTCAGTTGTTCTTTGTTTGTGGGCCTTTCTGCCTTTAGTTTTGCCTTCAGCAAGTAAAAATGCATGCTAAATTGGGTTGAGATCAGGTGATTGACTCGGCCATTGCAGAATATTGCACTTATTTTCCTTCAAAAGCTCCTACTTTTGCAGTGTGTTTTGGATCATTGTCCATCTGTACTGTGAAGCGCCGTCCAATCAACTTTGCTGCATTTGGCTGTATCTGGGCTGACAGTATATCTCTAAACACTGCAGAATTCATCTGGCTGATTCTCTTTTCTGTCACATCATCAATAAACACCAATGACCAAGTGCCACTGGAAGCCATGCATGCCCATGCCATCACACTGCCTCCACCATGTTATACAGATGGCGTTGTGTGCTTTGGATAATGAGCTGTTCCAAGCCTTCTCCACACTTTTATCTTCCTGTCATTCTGGGACAGATTAATCTTAGTTTCATCCGTCCAAAGAATGCTTTTCCAGAACTGCTCTGGGTTTTTAGATGTTTTTTTGGCAAAGTCTAATGTGGCTTTTCTATTCTTCAGGCTTATGAATGGTTTGCACCTTGTGGTGAACCCTCTGTATTTGCTCTCGTGAAGTCTTCTCTTGATTGTAGACTTTGACAATGATATGCCCACCTCCTGGAGAGTGTCCTTCACTTGTCTGGATGTTGTGAATGGGTTTTTCTTTACCATAGAGAGGATTCTGCGATCATCCACCACTGTTGTCTTCCGTGGACGTCCATGCCTTTTTATGTTTCTGAGCTCACCAGTGTGTTTTTTTCCTCCGAATGTACCAAACTGTTGATTTGGCCATTCCTATGTTGCTGCAATCTCTCTGATGGATTTGTTTTGTTTTTGAAGCCTTACAATGGCCTATTTCACTTGCATGGACAGCTCCTTTGAACGCATGATGTAGGTTCACAGCAATAGATTCCAAATGCAAATATCACACTTAGAATCAACTACAGAGCTTTTACCTGCTTAATTGAAGAAATAACGAAGGAGTAGCCCACACCTGGCCATGAAACAGCTTTTGATTCAATTTGTTCAATTACTTTTGGTCCCTTGAAAAAATAAAACAATTAAAAAACTAAATAAAAATCAGGCCTACAGTTAGCAAAAATCAATACTATTTTTTAAGTTGTCTGGTGCGTGTAACAGATGGGTCTTGCAGTGTGCAGAATCATAAACCCTTTCCCACCCTACCTGGTGTCCCTTTAAACAGTTCTGAAAGCCCAGGGGGGCAGGAAGGATCAGCGATCATGTGACTGCTATCACAGTGGTCACATGATCAGAAGCTGGACCGAGAGCTGTCTTTGACAACTCGGTCTTTGTGATGGGAGAGCTCAGTGAGCGTGTTCATTACATGCACATCAGGCAGTCAGCAATGCATATGTATGGCATGTGGGCACTACATCCCACCCTGTTGTCACCACACATACTGTATGTGTTAGGTGGTCATAGAGGGGTTAATCTTGGATATTTCCCTTGCAAGCTTGTTTGATTGAAGTCATATAATTTCAAGGTGAAGTTTGCTTAGCTGGGTATCCTGCACAGATTGGTGAATATTAACATTCCAACTTAAACTCCTAGTTTTCCCACCAGCTCGCACCCCCCCCCCCCCCCCCCGACCTCTCCATCACGACCAACAATGCCACCCTCAGTCCCACCCCACAAGCCAGAGTACTAGGTGTCATTCTAGACTCCAATCTGTCTTTCCAGCCCCAGGTCCAATCGCTGACAAATTCATGCGGACTCCACCTCCGCAACATCTCCAAAATACGTTCGTTCCTAACTCCAGAAACTACAAAGCAACTCATTCACTCCCTTATTATATCACGACTTGACTACTGTAACTCCCTCCTCGCTGGCCTACCCCAACACAGGCTATCCCCGCTCCAGTTTATCCTGAATTCTGCGGCCAGACTCATCCACCTTACTAACCGCTCCGTATCCGCCACTCCCCTCTGCCAATCCCTGCACTGGCTTCCGGTTGCCCAACGCATAAAATTCAAATTACTAACACTGACGTACAAAGCTGTTCATAACACTGCCCCAAATTACATCACCGACTTGATATCCATCTACCACCCAAAACGCACTCTCCGCTCCTCACAAGACCTTCTACTCTCTAGTTCCCTGGTCTGCTCCTCTCATGCCCATCTCCAGGACTTCTCCCATCCTCTGGAACTCACTACCCCAATCCATCAGACTGTCACCTACCCTCCTCACCTTTAGGCGCACCTTGAAAACCCATCTCTTCAGAGAAGCCTACCCCACCCTCACCTAACAGCGGATCTCCTCCGCTCTTCCCTAGATGGTAAGCTCCAAGGAGCAGAGCCCTCGAACCCCTCGTGTATTGAATCGTTTTGTTACTGTACTGTCTCGTGTACTGTCTCCCATTATAATATACAGCGCTGAGCAAACTGTTGGCACTATATAAATACTGTATAATAATAATAATAAACCTCTCTGCTTTTACAGCTATTTCTTGGAAACCGTGACAACTACTCCCACAAGAGGAATCTCTTCAGTCCTCCATTTTCAGCCCGTTATGTGCGCGTTCTTCCTCAGTCATGGCATGAACGGATCACCCTGCGTATGGAGCTTCTGGGGTGCAACATTTAGGCAGAAGACACCGAGAAGATAAACACATTGCACAGCAAGAGAGTTTTTTCCTTAATTTCTACCCATCATCATTTCCTCACCTTCCTGAACTCACCTCGGTGGGGCGGCAATTATAACCTCACCAGGCAATCGCTAACCTGAACTAAAGTGAAGCAGACCTAACTCGTAACTAGAACCTGAGGTCAGGATGCCTCACTAAATCACAAAAACTACTCTTAACTAACCCCTGGTGCCCAGATAGATGTTTTGATGTATGTAGGGGTTAACTGTATAGTCTGCTGTACAATGTTTTTGATGGCTGTAATAACTTTTATTTTTTAACCTGTTCAGTATTGTAAGGCTTGTGCAATGTTTTATTTTAAAGCCCAACTCTTACCAATAGATTTTTTTTTTTAGGTAGGGTGGGGAAAGCTGTCTTTGTGCTCTTTGGGGACATTTCTTTGAATTTTTCCTTTCCCCGAGACAGGAAATCAGAAGAAAGAAGTCAAGAGCAATCTGTACATTATGGAAAGAGACAGCAACAAAGCTTTTATGGCTGTTTGTGCCTTCTTGTGTTGGTGACCTTTGTACCCTCTTTTCTTGTCCTGGAGTCACATGTATAAGATCTAAGGGTAAATCCATCCTATGAACTCACAGACAGTAAAAAAAACCCACCATTAGGTCTAACCCTTTCCTGTTCTATTCAAAACTAAAGAAAAAAAAAGTTTTGGTGTGAATCGGACTTTAAAAAATTAACAGTTCTGTCGCTCCTAGTAGCGTTAGAACAGCATTACAAAATGCAGTCCATGTCATTACCTCGGGGCAACCTAAGTGCTGCATTTTTATTTGTAACATTGAAGTAATCTGCATAGTGACAGCCTACTGTACCATTTGGAAACTCTACAACACAACATATTGGAGGGGGTCTAGATATCATCTGAGAATGGCTTCATGCTTGTATGACCAGAGCTTGGCCTGCGCTGCTCTTTAGGTTAATGGACACAAGTCATAAGAGACACCTACCACAAATCTGCACTGGTAGATGCATTCCCTTGTAGGGTTCATCTTACAGAGGAGGAAAACTAGTGCCCATGGGCATATAGCAATGCCATCTGGCTGCTGCATTGATGTTACTCACAAAGCAGTATCCCTAATGTTTTATATTCCAAGGTAAGAAGGATTGGTAAATATAATAATACACGGGGTCACATTAAAATATTTCTTTAAAACAAGTTAATAGCACTCACAAATATTAAGGTACAGGTTTTCTATTTAATTAGTCAAGTTTTGAGCTTGAAGTAAGGTCTTTTCAAAGAGACAGCTGAGTGCATGTCTATAATCCAGATGAAAAACATGGAAGCCTAACTCCTCTAGGGTAGCCTATTGCTTGATGCCGATTTATAGTCAGGCGTCAACTGGAACGGTCAGCCCTATTGCTGTAGATCTTAGAACAGGGGTCTCCAAACTTTCTATGCAAAGGGCCAGTTTACTGTCCTTCAGACTGTAGCCAGCGGGATTGAGGAAAAGGTTTCCATTGATGGTTTTAGTGGAAGTGGAAGGATTGGTGTCAGTTGGTGAAATAGTGCGCCAACGGTCGGATACGGGCAAGCAAAGGGCCACATCTGGCCCTTGAGCTGCAGTTTGGAGACCACTGTCTTAGAATATTCAAACGATGATTCTTATATTGTAAAACCACTGGCAAGGTTGGCCATTTTCAACCTGTCACACCTGACCATCACCAACAGTGCATATCCTAATTTAGGTTTCTTTAACCTAAAATGGGTGGTCAGTTAGAACAGTCCTGTGCGATATTTTCAAATTTGGTATAGTTATTGAAATTTATTGTACATATTTGTGATGGTTATTGTTGGCTTTTATTAAAAATATGTTTCTAGGATCTGTTTCTCCTTTAAAAGACAAATTTATTTAAATCCTCCAATATTTTGTGAGAATACATATAGCAATAAGTTTTTGTATTTTTTTTTTTTTTATTTCTTGCACTGTATTTCTTGAATTACTTGGGTAAAATACAGGTAAACTGTGGACAGTGGAGTTTTATTCCTGTTCCATTCTTTGCACACTGTTCAAATGCACTCTGACCACATATGTAAACGTAATGATTGTGTGTTACAATATGGTTACTTGACTGTTCACTTTGTGATTAAAATGTCTTTAGACTAAGAAAATTATGCTTCATTTCCACATCATAAAACAATATAAACACTTACAGTAGTTACAAGCATGGATAGTTGATAAAAATAAATCTGCACCAAATTCCAATAGAATAGATACACATAAGTTTTTTGGGGGTTTTTTTAGGGCCTTTAAAGTTGTTTACAACACATATAAACTGACAGAGCTGGTGAAGGCTTCACAATTTTTATTAAATAACAAAGTTAAAATATTCTACAATAAAAACTTTTCTGACATTTAACATGAATGGATTGTCCTTATTTTAAAGCGGTGGAGATGTTATTAATCCCAACATGATTCGCCCTTACGGGCTTCTTCAGGGTACTTTTTCCCCTGAAGAAGCTTGTATGGGCGAATCAAGTTGGGATTAATAACATCTCCACCGCTTTGAAATAAGGACAATCCAATTATGTTAAATGTCAGAATAGTTTTTATTGTGGAATATTTTAACTTTGTTATTTAATAAAATTTGTGATGCTTTTACCAGCTCTGTCATTTTGTGTTGTAAGCACCTTTTAAAGGCCCTAAAAAAACCCTTTTCTTTCTGTCATAAAACAATAACATACAAATGTCATGTTTCATCTCAATAATTAAAGTTTTCAACAACACACACCCGAATAATAGTAGAAGAGCTACCATAAACTGAGGCATAGGACTATAGCAAAAGAAACATCTCAAATTAGATCACAATAGGTAAAGTCAGACACAGCGTCGCATAGGATCATAATCTATAGGTGGCAGCATGGAATAGGCACACTTGTCTCTAAGAAGAATGACATATGGCAAGTGTAAGAAGTCGTATAAGTAGCAAACCAGTAAACCCAGGTCGCCACAAAGCTATGATGCTGGAATGTTTGTCTTCGCTGTATCCTAGCATATTCTCATAGGTGTCAGTCTGTTCTATTTCCCTCCAAGGTATCGGGAACACAGGCAGACTTCAATGCCAGACTATAGCCTTGCTGCTAGTAAGATATGGGTTATGATCATCTTGAGCTTAGAAGGTATACTTTCAGTCCCTAGAGACAGGATTGCCAAATCTGAGGACAGTGAATAGGAGTGCCTAAAATCTGCGATAGGATATGGAAAATCTTTGGCCAAAATCTTGAGAGAAGTGGGCACACCCAAAGGATATGGTAAAAAGTACCAGGTTGGGTACAGCCTCTCCAGCAAAGTGGAGAGATAGAGCTAGTGAACGTCGCCATGCGATGAGAGGTTAAATACCATCTCTGCATCATTTTATGTATCAGTTCCTAAAAATTCACGCTTTGAGGCTCCATGCACACGGGATGTTTTGATAACGCTGGAAACGTTGGCTGTGTAAAGTCATGTTCAAAATGTGAGTTTTTTTAGCGTTTTTGCATTAGCATTTTGCCGTGTCTAGCGCGTGTTTTCCACATTTGTGGTTTTTAGCGGGTTTTTTTTACCCAAAAAATTTTTTTCTTTTTTTGTCACAGTCCAAAAACGCAGGTTTGCGGCGTTCTACCACGATTTACTGTGTTATTCAGCGTTAGAGCATTTTTACAGCTAAAAAACTCCTCTAGAAACCCACTACTTTTTTTCCAGCCAAAAAACATCCCTGCCAAAAAATATTGATTACAGTCTGTGTGCACGGACACATAGGATAACCTGCTGGGGGGTTTGCTGGCTGTAGAAAAAAAATGTCAAAAGCCAAAAACAGCCGCTGTAAAAACGTCCCGTGTGCATGAGGACTCTGTGGCACTGTAAGCAATCCTAAAGGCTTTCTGCTATTAAAAGATAAACGCACAGGCGATCAAATACCACTGAAAGAAAGCTCTATTCGTGGGAAAAAAAGGACTTAAATTTAATTTGGGTGCAACGTTGCATGACCGTGCAATTGTCAGTTAAAGTAACGCAGCGCCGTAACGCAAAAAATGGCCTGGTCAGGAGGGAGGGGGGAATCCTCTGGAGTGGTTAAATACAAGGCATCCTCTGATAGGCAGAGATGAGCAGATAACATCACAATTTCCACCTTTACCAATAAGAGAAAGCCTTGTGCTTATTGACAAAACTATATGGCTTCTCCTGCATGGTGGAGGACTCGAATCGACTCTTTTTATTTATTTTTTTCTCAATTCTGGCAGCAGGCGGCAAGTGGCCCATACTGCTGCCAGAACACAGCAGCGCTTACTGTATGAGGCTAATGCTACTACAGTCCATTACAGCAAACACACAACTCACATCATTCTGTAATGGAAATAGTTAGTTTTGGCTAGCTTAGCCTCCAAAAAAGTTTTTTAAAGTGAAAGTAAACTTGGAATTCTACTTTAAATGTTATCATATTGTAGGCTCAGTCCACCTGAAACTATTATTTTATGGCGCTATCAACCAGTTTGTTTACAGTTACATTTGTGCGCAAAAGTTTGCATACCCTGGAAGAAATTGTGAAGTTTTTGGCATTTACAGGTGAAACTCAAAAAATTAGAATATCGTGCAAAAGTTCATTTATTTCAGTAATGCAACTTAAAAGGTGAAACTAATATATGAGATAGACTCATTACATGCAAAGCAAGATAGTTCAAGCCGTGATTTGTCATAATTGTGATGATTATGGCTTACAGCTCATGAAAACCCCAAATCCACAATCTCAGAAAATTAGAATATTACATGCAATCAATAAAACAAGGATTGTACATAGAACAATATCGGACCTCTGAAAAGTAGAAGCATGCATATGTACTCAGTACTTGGTTTGGGCCCCTTATGCAGCAATTACTACCTCAATGCGGCATGGCATGGAAGCTATCAGCCTGTGGCACTGCTGAGGTGTTATGGAAGACCAGGATGCTTCAATAGCGGCCTTCAGCTCT